TTAAAAGGAAAGAAATCTGTCACATGCTACACCATGGATCAGCCTTGAGGACATATGCTAAGTGAAAAAAGCCAGTCACAAAGACACAAACTGTATGACTCTACTTACATGAAGTAGATCTAAAGTAGTCAAAGTCATAGAAACAGAAAATAGAATGGTGGTTGCCAGGGGCTAGGAGAAGTAGAAAGAAGGAATTGTAGTTTAATGGCTGTAATTTCAGATTTGCAAGATGAAAAAGTTCTGGTGATCTGTTTCAAAACAATGTGAATATTCTTACGTTACTGAACAGTACACTTAAAAATGATTAAGATGGTAAACTTTATGTTGTGTTTTTTACCATGATTAAAGAAATGAGAAAGAAGGGGGTGAAGAATTGGGACCAATAACTCAATTTTCTTCCAATATTAAAGTTATAATTCTTTTTATCAAGGAATTTACAACTTGGCAGGGAGTTCTATTAGTTAAATAATAGTGTTATGATAAATATTATGATAAGCATAGAATATTATGGGAGCTCACAGAGATGTTGTTTAAAGGAGTCTAGAAGTGGGGTGCCTGGGTGACTCAGTTAAGCATCCAACTCTTCTTGGTTTTGGCTCAGGTAATGATCTCATGGGTCCTGAGATCAAGCCCAGGGAAGGGCTGCTCACTCAGTGGGGAGTGCTTGAAAAGTCTCTCTCCCTCTGCCCCGCCCCACACTCCCTTGCATGCTCTCTCCCTCTCTCTAAAATAAATCTTAAAAAAAAAAATAAAGGAGTATTGAAGAAAGATTAAGAAGTGGGGAGGAATTTGTGGTAACAAAGGAGTTCTTGGTAGATTAAGTACCTCTGCCTGGAGAGTTAAGCAAGGATCAGATAACAAAAGGTCTAAAATGCTATACTAAGGTTTTTGGTTTGGTTTTGTTTTGTTTTGTTTTTAGTCCTTAAGGCATTGGGCAACTATTGATTTTGAGCCTGCCAGTTACATGATATGAATTAATTTTTAGAAAGATTGCTGGCAGCAGTAAAAAGCAAGAAGATAAATTAGAGATTTTAATAGTTATTCAGACCTTAAAAAAACAACTTGACGAGTCATGGATATTTAAGAACTAGAATCAGTAGGAATTGGTGATGGATTAGTTGACTATAGGGAGCTTAGGAAAAAGAAGTTGAGAATGATTCACTTTTCTAGCTTTGGACAACTATATAGGTACAGACTTGATAAGAAAAGGAATATTTGATTAGAAATAAGTTACTCAGATACAGACCTTGTCCTACAGTATTTAGTGCATACCTACTGTGTGTCAAGGACCTATTCTAAAAGCTGAGGAGACAGCCTTGAACAAAGAAGACAGATTGCTCCTCCAATAGAGCTTACATTTGGGGGGGACTATAAGAAAAAAATAAACTAAAATTTTAGGTTGTGATTATTTAGCCAGTGAAATCTATCCCAGAATAGGAATTAAGGGACAATTTAAATTAGAATGATTGGTGAAAACTTCAACTACAAGGTATCTGAACAAAAAACCTAATGAAGGTGAATGTAGATATGTGGAGTGTTCCAGATTGAGTAACAGTAGGTACAAAGGCCTGGTGTGTTTAAGGAATGGCAGAGAGGCCAGTTGAGAAGGAAAAGTATTAAAGGAAGACTTACTAATAAGAGATGAGGTTGGAGAAGAAATAGGTATTGGGGTTAGGCTGATGTAATGTTACATGAGACATAAGCATAACTTTTATATTGTTACCCAAGTTTGATTCTTTTCCACTTAGGAAATTAAAGTTTATTTTCATTATCTAGGTCTTGTTGAGACATTCTCATAGATCCTGTACCTGGTTTTTAAATAGCACTTAACATAACTGAAATTAAATGTGTATTTAGTATAGGGCCATATGCTTAGCCATAAAATACTTGTTGAATAAAGGAGTAATACTTGCTTTCACTTGGTGACTTAGTATATAGTGCATTTAGATTTGAATAGAGTTCTTTTGAATGTGTGTGTGTGTGTTTTGCTTTAAGCATTTGGAATTAGGTTTGTGTTTGGCACTTTTATTTTTCCCCCAGTTCTACAGTATGGGTGCCTTTACCACTGCTGGAAAGCAATAATAAAATTGTCTTTATTTTAAATGGGCATTAGCAATGGTCTGCTTTTTGATGGACCGTTCTCAAAGTTATTAGTTAAATCTCTTCTCTTGGGGATTATTTTAGATTTTACTCTTATACCAAAGCAAATGTCTGTAGGCTTTGTAATTACTCAACCAATAGCTGTTCCAGATGAGTAACAAGCAATATATTTAATAAATAATTCAAATAATTAGTTTTATTTCTTTTTTTTTTTTTTAAAGATTTTATTTATTTATTTGACAGAGAGAGACACAGTGAGAGAGGAACACAAGCAGGGGGAGTGGAGGGGGGAGAGGCAGGCTTCCCGCCGAGCGGGGAGCCCGATGCGGGGCTTGATCCCAGAATGCTGGGATCATGACCTGAGCCGAAGGTAGGCGCTTAACGACTGAGCCACCCAGGCGCCCCAATTAGTTTTATTTCTTATTTGAAAACTGTTTGGCTTTATCACTTATGCTTCAGCAAGGCTGGCGGGAAAAAAATCTATTGGCTAAATGCAGTGTGGTATCTTGGATTGGATCCTGAAACAGAAAAATGGTTAAGTGGAAAATCTAGTGAAATCCAAATAAAGACTGGAATTAATGTATCAGTGTTAATTACTTGTTTGACAAATGTAGCATTGTTATGTAAGATGTTTAACTTCAGAGGAAACTGGGTAAAGGGTATATGGGAACTTTCTATGATACTTTTGCAACTTTTCTGTAAATTTAAAGTGATTCCAAAAATGTTTATTTAAAAAAAAAACAACAAAAGCTGCTGAGGTGGGGGAAGATACAGTAATCATTGCATAATTTTTATAAAAGATTTTTTATTTATTTGAGAGGGAGAAGCAAACTTCCTGCTGAACGGAGAGCCCCATGCGGGGCTTGATCCCAGAACCCTGAGATCATGACCTGAGCCGAAGTCAGATGCTTAACCAACTGAGCCACCCAGGCACCCTAAGGATTCATAATTTTTATTTATTTATTTTTTTTAAAGATTTTATTTATTTGACAGACACAGCCAGAGAGGGAACACAAGCAGGGGTAGTGGGAGAGGGAGAAGTAGGCTTCCCGCAGAGAGGGGAGCCCGATGCGGGGCTTGGTCCCAGGACCCTGGGATCATGACCTGAGCCAAAGGCAGATGCCTAACGACTGAGCCACCCAGGCGCCCCAAGAATTCATAATTTTTAAATTTAAAAGTAATACAGTTTAAGCAGTGTAGAGTATTACAAATTTCGAAAACCTCTAAAGATCCCTGCTTAATTGCTTTAGTCCCGTTCCCTAGAAGTAACCAGGTTTAGTTTTCCATCTTTTTAACTTTTTTTGCTTCCTACTTCTAGTGGTTACTGCCATAATTACAGAGATGCTTTATACCTCTAGACCTTGATTAATCAACTGTAGACAGTATCTACTGATACTCTACCATGAAAGATAAGATTTGCTTTATTAGTGATAGTATTGTCAGTTTTTCTGGTTATCTTTTTAACTTGAGTGATAAGCTTAAATTTCAGTTTCTTGATTTTTCTGTCAACTTTAGACAATCTTTTGGCTCCCTTATATATAAAATGAAGAAATTCTCAGCTCTGCACCTCTTTCTGACTTTTTATTTTCCCACTTTTGTTAGCTACTTTTACTGTAACTTTTTTGTGTGCTTGACTTGTCCAGAAATAATTCAAGAGGGCTTATAGATAGATACAACAGGTTTTTAGTTTATTAATGGTTACATTTTAAAGAACTGGTTCTTTAAGACAAATACTTCTTTTTTAAGATTTTATTTATTTAACACAGAGAGATAGAGCAAGCACAAGCAGGGGAAGGGGCAGGCAGAGGGAAAGGGAGAAGCAGACTCCCGCTGAGCAAGGAGCCTGATGCCGGCTCCATCCCAGGACCTTGGGATCATGACCTGAGCCAAAGGCAGCCCCTTAACCGACTGAGCCACCCAGGTGCCCCAAGACAAATTCTTTTTTTTTTTTTTTTTTTAAGATTTTATTTATTTATTCATAAGAGACAGAGAGAGAGAGAGCCAGAGGGAGAAGCAGGCTCCCCGCCGAGCAGGGGGCCCGATGCGGGACTCGATCCCAGGACCCTGGGATCATTACCTGAGCCGAAGGCAGACGCTTAACCATCTGAGCCACCCAGGCACCCCCAAGACAAATTCTTAAGATAAATGTGTGGAAAAGAAATACGAGTGGATTCTTCTTACTGTACAGTCTCCTCTTCTAGGCCATTTGACCTTTCTATCCTAAGGATCGTTTTGTTTTCCTCTTGGGAACTTTTATTTTCCCAGCCATATCTAAATTTCGTAAGATGTTCTGCTTTGCATATAGCTTCGATTCTAGGATGCCTTCAGTTGTAAGATCCATCATTTCTTTAAAATAACTTACTATTGGGGGTCAGAGGAGGGCAGTACATTAAATGCTTGATTGATTGAATGTAGCCCAATTTCAGAAATAATAAAATGAGAAAATATAATTGTATTTAATTTCTTAATTACAAGGGAAAATAAACAAAAATTAGGTCATCCTTAATTCGATTGCACACCTAGATTTTTTACACTCAATTTAAAAAAAAAAATTGAAACTACTATTTTGGTAGACTACCCTTTCCATTAAACCCACTTCCCCTTTACCTTTACTTATTTTGGTGGCTGTATTATAAGGGTATGTGTGGGCGTACCTAACTTGTTTACTGATTCCTCGATTTGCAGCTTTTTCTACTATAAACAGTGCTGTGAAGAATATTTCTTAAAACTAATTCTTTGCTTATATCTGTGATTCCCCCCCCTTCAGATGATGAAGTAGAATTTCTGGGTTAAAGAAAAATGTGCGTTTTTGTAGTATAGCTTCTTAATAAAGAAAAGCAAGTTAACTTATATTTTGGCTATTAATCATCACTAAAATACAACTTTTTCTTCTTTATTAGTGAACACTTGTCCTGCTCTTTCACCTTTTTCTTGCATGGAGACAGCAATGTTTGTACCAGTGTGGAAATTAACCAACATCAACCTGTATACCTTCTTAGTGAAGAGCATATCACCCTTGCTCAACAGTCTAATAGCCCATTTCAAGGTAGATTATTTACTGGCTTAGATATTTGATCTCGTATTGTTTCAAGAAAACTCTTAATTGCAATTGGTAATTTTAAATTTTGGTACTAATGAGATTTCCCATGATCGTTAGCCTAGTGATGATTCTGATGTAGTTTATTTTCTTCTTCCAGAGTTTTAAGTCAATGAAATAAGTTTTTTAATACAAATATTTAAAAAAAAAATTCTTGTACATGAACGATAGCATGTTTTAAAGTGTTCTTTTAAATAACATTTAGCAGATATGTAGGTTTATGTTTTCAAGGTCATCTTTTGTGTCCAGTCACATAAACCATTTTTAACGTTGGAACACGGGGAGTTTGATATTTATACAAGATTGTTGATTTGTTTTTAAGGACCGACAGGGTGTTCTTGTTTTAATTCTAACCCTAGTATTTACTTTTTAAAAATTACATGGCAGTACATAATAAAAGTACTTAGATTTATACACACACACACACACACACACAGTTTTTCCTCAAATTGCTTTTTCTTACTGGAAATCAAGAGAAGTTGAAGGATATACATATAACCCCACTCATGTTGAAATTCTAACCATGTGAGATTTTTTGGGTGGACAAAATTTTAAGATTTTATAATAAATATTGTGCTTTATCTTAACAATAATGAAGTATAATAAATTTTTCTCTGAAATGACTGTTAAGAGTTTCCTTTTCTTTTTTGATTGCATTACTTGTCAGACTATTCAGTGTGATCTTATCTGGTGTACCAGTCTTTAGTTACTTACTCGATGTCTCTTTTGGGTCTCTAGTAATCTTAAGCCCATTTGGACTAAATGGCACTCTCACAGGACAAGCATTCAAGATGTCTGATTCAGCTACCAAAAAATTGATTGGTGAATGGAAGCAATTCTATCCTATCTCATCTTGCTTAAAGGAGATGTCTGAAGAAAAACAAGAAGATATGGATTGGGAAGATGATTCTTTAGCTGCAGTAGAAGTTCTTGTTGGTATGGATTCTGAGTATTAATTTTAAGGGAAAAATATGTGACTGTGTATTAGATTTTGCTGAATAATAATTCCAATACTTTAGTGGCTTTCAACAGTAAGCATTTATTTCTTTGTTTTCTCCTCACATTACATAAGGGCTACAGGTTGGTTGTGGTTTGGCTCCTTGTATCTTGTCATTCTACAACCTACATTCCATGATTACCCACTCTCTGGGACATGCTGTTCTTATAAGAACAGAGGAATAATAAGGACTGAGTGTAATTATGTAAGTGTATTTAAAGCTTCTGCTAGGATATGATGTATGTTACATCTGCCCACACTCCATTAGACAGAACTAGTCACTTTGCCATGCCAAAGTCATTGGGGCAAGGAAATATATACCACCTAGAGGTAAGCATGCTAAAGGTGGGAAGAAGATAACTGTGAATGAGTAACATTTAGAAGCTGGAAAGTTGACAACCTGTTACGTAGTATTTTAACATTTGGTGAAACTGTTGCCTCTGATAATTTTTAAAAGGTAGAAAGTGCACCTAAAGAACTCATGGCTTTGATCTGCTCTGCCCAGGTCAGCTCTTTTCATATTGGCTCTTCTCTGTGTCTTCTCATTCAGGGACCCAGATTAACAAGGTAAACTATATTTGGGACATGCTCATCTTGAGGGAAAAGCCAGGAATAAGAGGCTGCACTGATCTTGCAAGCACATTTAAAGCTTCTGTTGGGATCTGGTGTATATCATATGCAGGTCACACAGCCAAGCCTAAGAGTGGAGTGAATAGGTATACTCCATGTTAGAGAGATGGGGGAGGTGTGGGGAATGTATAATTGAGCAGATAATTAGGATTAGAATCTGCAACGGTGTTTAATAGAATCATGTGGATGTTATATATATATGAAGATTGCCTTATTCACGGGTTATTGTTTTTCTTTAATAAAAAGAATACCAGTATTGAACTTCAATAAATACCTTACTACCAGGGTAGTTGTGAAAAAACCAGAAACAAAACACAAACATATATTAGGCTTTCAGTAAAAGACATGTAAAGAAGAAAGCAGAAAATGGTCCATAATTCTAGTGTCCAGATTACCTTTATTAAACTTCAAAAAAATTTAAAAAGTAATATCCATTATAGTTTGTCAAATTTACAAATAAAGATTTAAAAGTAATACACTCTCATGATTAGAAAATCCAAAAAGAGAAAGCTGCTTGCTTCTGAGTCTCTCACTGAAGGTTACCACTAAAGGTATTAACATTTTCTCATGGTTTCTTCCAAAAACCTATGCCAAAAGGAGCATATATTTATAAAAATACATTAAATATATTTTTATTTTATTTAAACAAATATGATAGTATGTACATTTCCATTACAGTACTTTTGAACAAAACTAATCCCACTATAGTCACAGTGGTAATTTATTTTCTTGTCCATTATTTTTTCCTTTCAGCTGGTGTCCGAATGATCTACCCAGCATGCTTTGTTCTAGTCCCTCAGTCAGACATTCCTACTCCTAGCTCTGTGGGATCCTCTCACTGTTCAGCTTCTTGCTTGGGTGTCCACCAAGTGCCTGCTTCCACAAGAGATCCTGCTATGTCTTCAGTTACTCTTACACCACCTACGTCTCCTGAAGAAGTCCAAACAGGTATCGTATTAATCTTTTTCATTAGCACTAGTTATAAATCTGTTGTTCTGAATATATCAGCACTTAATTATTTTGAAGTAATTTCAGACTTACTGAAGAGTTTCCATGTATACAAAGAACTCTCTCATCCAGATTTCAAAACAGTTAGCATTTGTTCCATCACCCTCTCTAGATGTATACATTCATTATCATTGGCCTTTTCCTGAACCATTTGAGAACAAGCTGCAGACACAATGCCCCATTGCGCCCAAGTACTGAGTGTATTTCCCAAATTTAAGAACACTCTCCTATATAACTACCATTTAATCCTCAGAGTCAGGAAGTCAGCTTTGATATAACACTACCATCAAGTTTACATCCTGTTTGGATTTTTTGCTTTCTGTATTTTAAGTAACGTTTTTTGTCTCAAAATATATGGAGACATACCAGATAGATGTGGAGTACATTGTATAACAAATTAAGCAAAAAAAAAAAAAAAAACAACAAAAACCCAAACCCAAATAATGTTACTTTAAATGTCCTTTTATTCTCCTATAGCCTATTCTTTTTTGTTTGTTTTCAGTTGATCCTCAGTCTGCCCAGAAGTGGGTCAAATTTTCTTCAGTATCTGATGGCTTCAACTCTGATAGTACCAGCCATCACGGTGGGAAAATACCCAGAAAATTAGCAAATCATGTGGTGGATAGAGTTTGGCAAGAATGCAATATGAACAGAGCACAGAACAAGTACGTGTTTTCATTTTCAAGTTTAAAATATTGCATGTTGGTAGTTACTTGTATATAGATACTTAAAGTATAAAAAGTCATTTGTATGACTTTAAAAATCTAATTTTTTTAACTTTAATGCTTTATTCATGGGTATAGAAAACCTTATGAATTCTAAAGAATTTTATAATTTCAAATCTTAGGAGGAAATATTCAGCTTCCTCAGGTGGTCTGTCTGAAGAAGAGACACCTGATAAAGTAGCGTCCTGGGATTTTGTTGAAGCCACACAAAGAACAAATTGCAGCTGTTTGAGGTAGTTTGTTGGTTTTTTTCCCGCGGTTGATTGATGTCTGTATATGTGTGTGTGATAGCTTCTTATGCTGTTGAATACTTGGGTCTCACTTTGAGCTAGCTTACCTAAGCACAATGTGTGAGGATTTTTTTCAAAAGAAAATTTGAGGGGAAAAAAAAATTTAGTGACTTGGAGCTGATTATAGAAGTACATACAAATGTATGCCATAGTCTTTACACAGTTACCAGAGCTGAACCGTTGAAGGCTTGGTTTTACAGCTAAATAAAAGAGAATTTTATACTGGATTATAGTATATATAGTATCTATAAGGTAAAAGGCACACAAGTCTCTTGAGAAAAGAGTTCATAGATGGCACTGTGCCTGAGAAATTTCTCCCATAGGTTCTTATAAAAAAGGTGATATATGATACGCTAGATGAAAATTTCTGTAATCCTTTTTATAGTAAATATGGTATTAGGTTTTACGCAGCAATTTCTTATCCTTTTGGGCAAAACTATAGGGAATGTTGAAATAAGATTCAGAAAGTACAATTCTACAAGGGATTGAAGCTGCACTGTAAAAATAAAAACTTTCTAATAGACAGTATTGGTTAAAGATTGGTAGAACAATGGATGAACTTGGAATGCTTTCGGCAGTTTTATTTCTATATTGGAGACTTTGAGATTTGGTTGTCAGAGGCATTCAGATTATATTGCCTAGAGTTTATTATTTTATTCTAAAATGAAAGGTAGATCATATACTTTTGCAGTCTTGTAAACAAATAATGGCACTGACATCCCTTACCAGAGCTTGTGAGCTAATAGTTGGTTACTCTTTTGTCACAGATGTGAGCCAAAGGAATGGAGTGCCTGTATGTTAGGGCCAAGGTTTTTCTTACATTAGCTTTGTTTGATTGAATACAGTGACAGAGGAGCACCTGGGTGCCTCAGTCGGATAAGCGGCTGTCTTTGGCTCAGGTCATGATCCCCGGGTCTAAGATCGAGCCCCACATTGGGCCCCTTGCTCTGCAGGGGGGTTCTGTTTCTCCCTCTGCCTCTACCCCTGCCTGTGCCTGTGCTCTCTCTCTCTCAAATAAATAGAATCTTAAAAAAAAAAAAAAAAAAAAGAATATAGTGACAGACTCTCAAGTGTTCTGGTTTGTTTTTGCATAGGTTAAATGTACTTACATAGATTCTTTGCATTAGAGACCATATAATTTTTAAAGTCTGACAACTGTGTTAAAAACTTGTCTGTTGGGGCGCCTGGGTGGCTCAGTTGGTTAAGCGGCTGCCTCGGCTCAGGTCATGATCCTGGGGTCCTGGGATCGAGCCCCGCATCAGGCTCCCTGCTCCGCAGGAAGCCTGCTTCTCCCTCTCCCTCTGCCTGCCTCTTTGCCTACTTGTGCTCTCTCTCTCTATCTCTCTGTCAAATAAATAAATAAAATCTTTAAAAAAAAAAAAACAAAAACTTGTCTGTTGCTGGGGCGCCTGGGTGGCTCAGTTGGTTAAGCCACTGCCTTCGGCTCAGGTCATGATCCTGGAGTCCCGGGATCGAGTCCCGCATCGGACTCCCTGCTCGGCAGGGAGTCTGCTTCGCCCTCTGACCCTATCCCCTCTCATGCTCTCTCTCTCTATCTCATTCTGTCTCTCAAAATAAATAAATAAAATCTTTAAAAAAAAAAAAAAAACTTGTCTGTTGCTGATACATTGGAATAAAAATATAGATAGATTAGCTCTTGTTTAATAGTTTAAAATAGTTAAACACCATAGCCACTTGGACAGGGGGGACCCAAACCTAATCTTCAAATGTAGAGCTCTATGATGTTATTTGTCTGAGACCAGACAGCAGCAACTATGATCCGTTGGCCAAATTTGGTTCACTGCCTCCTTTCATATGACCTGTGAGCTGAAAATGACTTTTACATCTTTAAATAGTTGGAAAAAATCAAAGAAGAATATTTTGTGACATGTGGAGAAACTTAAATGAAATTCAAATTTTAATGTCCGTAAAGATTTATTGGAACAGAGTCACATCTGTTCATTTACATGTCAACTATGGCTGCTTTCACAGAGTTCAGTAGTTGTGACACAGACTGTAAGGCCTCTGGAGCCTAAAATATTTACCATCTGGTCCTTTATAGAAAAAGTTTACCAGTTCGTAGTCTAAGATAAGTAGAATGCTTAAATGAAACTAGGCTTTTCTTTCCATATATTGACATTTTTATTAAGCAGTTCTTTTTTAGTTCCCTACCTAGACTTTTGCTTTATTCTTTTTGAAAAAGATGCGAGTTTTAAGTATATTTGTTTAAAATGGTTTTATTTATTTTTAAGATTTTATTTATTAGAGAGCATGAGCAGGGGCCACGGCAGGGGGAGAGGGAGAAGAAGGCTCCCCACTGCGCAGGGAGCCTGATTTGGGACTTGATGTGGGAGTTGATTCCGGGACTTTGGGATCATGACCTGAGCCGAAGGCAAACACTTAACTGACTGAGCCACTCAGGCACCCCTAAAATGGTTTTAGAGGAAGACCCTCAAAATGCATATTGGTAAACATAAGTTTAAGTTTAAATTCTTGGTTCCTAAGCTGAACTTTTATTTTTCAAAACTTACTGTGTCTCGTATCTCCAGAAATTCCTCCCAGGTATAGAGATCTGCTATAATGAAATTTTGTATAATCTATACATGTGACTTATTTTGGTATATTTGCTGTTCTAGGAAATAATACAGTGTTTCTGATCATGTACTTTTTTTTTTCGTTATTGCATTTTGTACTTCTAATTCCTCCTCCACTTCCTTCAAACCGGGTTCTCTTATTTACTTCTTAAAGAAGGCTTAAAATAGATGTTGAGCCACCATGAGTATCATCTGCTGCCATAGAATATAGGAAGTAGGGCACACATTTGATAACTTGACTGTGCTAGTCAGCCAATTTGCTGTCAGATCTATCCCTGCCTTTTCCCTACTCTGTTCTGTATTGCAGGGGATTACATTTCCTAGGCTCCTTTGCTTTCTCCTTGTGTTTGTTGTTTCCCCCACCCACTGCCAGCTTTATTGAGATATAATTGATAAATAACATTGTGTGAGTTTAAAGTATACAGCATGATGATTTGACTAGACCCACTTGCTTTTTGAATTTAGTTATGGTAGGTGCTAAGAGAAGATTGGTTGATGAAATGAGGAAAGAAGCCAGCTTATTTCTCCACCCCTTTTTTGAGCAGCAGTTCTTTAATGGCCCCTTCTGTGGTCCAGCTTACCACTGAACAGATCCCACTGTGGTTCTAACATCATCCTAAGCTTCTTTGATCTGGTGATACTATTTCATCTTACTGCCCTTTTAGTTCAAGAAGTCCTGGAAGCTCTCTGCTATTGGTAGTCTATGAGTTGCCTCACTTTCCTCTGTTTTTTTGTAACTCATTCTCGATAGTAGATTTAGAGGATTGGCCCCTGACTGATATATGTTGATTTCTCTTAGAAATCAATTTGAAGGGGCGCCTGGGTGGCTCAGTCGTTAAGCGTCTGCCTTCGGCTCAGGTCATGATCTCAGGGTCCTGGGATCGAGCCCTGCATTGGGCTCCCTGCTCAGTGGGAGCCTGCTTCTCCCTCTCCCACTCCCCCTGCTTGCATTCCCTCTCTCACTGTGTCTCTGTCAAATAAATAAATAAAATCTTAAAAAAAAAAAATCAATTTGAAAAAGAGGGCATAGTTACATAAGCAATTTGCATGAGTATGTAATGTATGATTTGAATATTTAAATTAAACAAATGGAGCTGAAGTTACCCTTGACCACTCTCAGTCTCTTTCCAAATGCTACTACATTTCCCTAGAATTGACTACTTGCCAATTAGGTATTATCTTTCCATAGTTTTTCTGTAATTTTGTGTATGTGTTTTTCCTCTCAACACAAAAATATAGTATGGATGTATTTGACAGCTTATTTTTTTCATTTAATGTGCCTTAGATCTTTCCGTTCTAGTTACTTGTAGATCTGCCATATTATTTTTAAAAACTTCTTGGTATTCCACTGAATGAAAGTACCATAGTGTATGTAATCATTCTGGGTTTGATGGACAAATAGGTTGTTTCCAAAAGTTTTTGTTTGTGTTTACTTTTAAAACAAAATAATACTTCTAGGACTATCAATTGTTTATTAGATTTTTTTGAACACTTATTCTGTGATAGGAGATGTCCTAGGCTCAGATACACTAGTGAATAAGGCTCCTGCTATTATGAAGCCTGTACACTAATGGGGTAGATAATTATTTAAAAAAAAAAGAATTTTTAATCTTTTTAGATTTTAAGAGTGATGAGTGCTGGGGCACCTGGTGGCTCAATCGTTAGACGTCTGCCTTCAGCTCAGGTCATGATCTCAGAGTCCTGGGATTGAGCCCCGCATCTGGGTTCCCTGCTCCACGGGAAGCCTGCTTCTCCCTCTCCCACTCCCCCTGCTTGTGTTCCCTCCCTCACTGTGTCTGTCTCTGTCAAATAAATAAATAAAATCTTAAAAAAAAAAGGTGATGAGTGCTAAGAAGGAAAAAAATTAGGTGTGTGATGTGATACAGAGTTGTGGGAGAGGGGGCTATTTAAATACTTGTGAATTCAAAAAGATCCTACCAATTTTACTCCCACATTTTATATATAGAAGTGCTGGTTTTTCTTGTGCTTTCACTGATCTGAGAACGGTTCTCAAAATTATTTTCTTTCTACTAGAGTAAGTGAAAAGCATAAAATTGTTTTAATTGGCTTTTTTCAATTATTAATGACGTTAAATATTGCATGTTTATTGAAATTAAGCTTTAGTGTGATAGAGTGTTCTTAAGAAAATTAGCACTTAGCAAGCTATATAAATAGAAAGTGATAAAATAAATTTCAAATGTTAACACTAAAATATTAGGAACTTTAATCAGTAGGAAGACGCATCTAAAGGGATCATTCTGTTGGATTTTGCTTTAAGAACACAACTTCTTTTTTAGGACAATTTCCCAAATTAGTTGAATTCTTTTATGAAATTCAGTTGTTTTCTCT